AGGAGAGAGAGAGAGAAGAGAGGGAGGCAGAGAGTGGGTGTGGTTGGGGGTGTGAATTGCGTGCATTTACTTGTGGATTTAGGCTAAGGTTAATGTTGGAATGGATTCAGGTGGGTGTGCATTTCATTGTGAAAATATTATGAATATGGGTAGATTTGGTAATAAGTGGAGTGTCCAAAAAAATATTATTAAAATTTAGGGTTTAGTGTTGGGGTCCAAAGAAATGGGGGGTCCAAAGAATTTTGGTAGGTGCTATCAAATGTGTTACAATTGAAAAGTTATGGACCAAAGTGACACAAGATCCAAACTATGGGGACCGTTATTGTAATTCGCCCTTATAATAAAGTTGTCATTGCATGTTGTCTTATTGCATCTCTGTTGGTTTAAAACTTTCAATTATGATTATATTTTACTGTAATTTTCTTTGTAGATGTGCAGGCAAATGTTCTGCTTCTGCAATTTTTGAGAAATCAGAAACTTTATTCATAAAAACATTAAGTTGCAATACAAACAAAGAACTAAAAACAAGAGTAAGCCATAAAAGAGCATAAAAGAAAGAAAAGCAAGCCAAGGATATATCTTAGAAGCTAAAAAATAGCCATCCAAGAAAGCATACTAAACAGCAGTAACTGAGCCTTGCAAGCATCAGGAACCTTCTCAAACTCCTCCCACTGACAATGAACACCTTGCAAATATTGAAATATTAAAATCTACATTTTACATTCTAAATCATTCAATTTGATTCTGCAATGTGAGAACCCGAATATAAAAATTAAGTAAATAATTAAATAATAATATTACAATCTCAAATATTTTGGTGGTGAATTCTAAGGTGCAAATTAAATATTATTGGAGGATCTTTTAATTAATTTTTAAACTTAAAATAAATTTATGGTGAAAGTCATTGATTTAGAAGCAAGATTTATTATTAAAAAAAAAATAGAGAGGAGGGTATGACTTTAACTCTAGACCATAAAATTAATAAGTTAGGCTCTTACCATTTGAGTTGCATGTAACTTATATATGTATTTTGTATATTTATCTATCTATTTGACCTAAGTGTGCCCACCACTAGTATAAAATAAAATAAACACAAACCCTAACTCTTGTTATAATTGTTTTCCACAACACTAGCAGCCCTAGCAGCCGTGGGTTTATGAAGAAAAGAGAGGGGTTTTTCAATCATCAAGATTATTGTTGTAGCCAAGAAGGAGAGCTTTGGGTGTGTTGTGCTGTGTGGCTTCCTAGGTTTTCTTCTCTTCTTTCTTTGTTCTTTATCCTAATAATATTGTTATTTAATTCATTGATGGAGAGATTGTAGGTGTATGTATTTTGTAAATATATGTATACACTGTTAAGAAATCTAAGGAGTTAAATTCATGTGTAAAGAATCGGTGTGAATCTTAGTCCAAAAAATTCTGCACATAATCGCTAACTTTAAAAATCAAGAAACCGTATCAAACGGATGAATTTTAATCTGAAATTTTTACAGTAGATCAAATACATGTGCAATTGCATATCTGAATTTTTTCATAATTTTTGGGAGTCAAAATCCATATAAATTGAGGTATCCAAATCTGTCCAGGAAACCAGTCCAAAACAGTAAATTCGGGAGTGCTGTTCTCTTTGGGTATAATCAGTATTTTTGTTGTCTTTCATGTGATTTGGCGTGTTTCAACTGAAATATTGGAATTTCGGTATTCTGCTAATGTTTCATTTTGGTTTCCTGTAAAACATAAATGTTGCAACTGTTTCAATGGAAACGAAACGAAACGAAATTTTGTTCCTTGCCAATAGGATTTGAAGTATGAATTTTGTTCTGCATTCCCCTTTTGGCAGCTTTTAATGAGTTTTACTCTAAACAGAAATTAATATTCACCTTTGATCTCACGAGGAGGCCTGTACCAGCATGGTCTAATGCAGAAACACATGTATCTTTAACTAGGATGTAGTTACTTGGAACAGTATGAGAGTCACTATATCAGTAAATTTGGACTTCCAAATAATTTCCAACGAGCCTACTCCTAAAATCACGGATAGTAAACATTCTGACTTATGCCCGAGAGAGAGAGAGAGATTTTAGTGAGTTTCGTGAGACGGATGTGATGATAAGAACCAACAAATTTCAAATGCTAGTGTTGCTTCACCTAGTGAACTCTTGTAATTTAACATGGTTTTTTATTGTCTATTGGATCATCTGTGTGGTTGTTAAATGCTTCAGGATAACATGCTTTGACAATTTTTGAGTGGCATATTTGTAGGGTTGTCCCTCTTCAAGCTCGTGTTGCTTTCATGTCAATGGGCTCTATCTTCTGGAACTTCTGCTTGTCTTCAACTATGAGCAAGTGATTTTCTCAGTTGAACGATTTATATTGCTTTGATATCAGTGTATTAAAATTTGAGCATCAGGTATTTTCTTAAGTCCAAATTTCTTGTTCTGAGCTTTGTTAATGTTAGTATTTGTTGGTTATAATTAACTTTCTCGTGGGACTGAAATTAGGTAGACATTCTGTTAAAGGGAAGCGCGAGGTCTGGAAGCAACGGTTCAATTATCTTTAAATTGCATTTGTGGCATTCTCATAAACTCACAAGCCGTCTTTTGAACAATATTGACGTGGTGATCAGATTATGTCTCTAGGGTAGATTTTCAGAGGATTTTGTTTCTGGGTTTGGAATTTTTCCCCCTTTTTTTCCTTATGGTCTGTCCACTTCATGAAACAATCAACTTAGAGGCCTCTCTCTCTCTGTGTTTATTTATTTATAAATGAAATTATTGCTACGTCAAATTTCACTTATTTAATATTTTTGGATCAGCAAGTTAGGTAATCATGTTGTGCATTCTTATTCCAAGGATAAAAGGGAAAGAATAGTTTTACAGATTTACAAGTTCAAAAGCACACACATCACCGACGTGAAAGAATTGGATTCTTTTCTTCAAGCCTACTGAATCTTTTCATTTGGGCACCACCAACCAAAAAGGAGAGCATTTCCCCAGTGGGCATAAAAAAATGAAGAGAACATAGACGAAAAGAAACAAAGATACCATTCCCTCTGGTCGAGTCACATACATACAGTAAGGAATAATAACTTGTTGAGACTCTAAAGCCCCAAGCCACCATTGTCTCCGCAAACCAGCAGAACGGATACACAATGAGCGGCAGCGGCAACAATTTAAGGCCAACACCAGGGAATAGGCTGCCTGGACAGGGATACAGAGACTGGAACAGAGTGCACACCATGTTCCCAAGGCCCCAGGTTAGTGTCATTTTTATTTTATTTTATTTATTTTTGGAGTATTCCAGGCTATATCTATCTATTTAAATAAGGTTGCGAGTTTTTCATGTGAGACAGAAAATAATAGTATCAGTTGTTTGTTGCTTGGGTTGGTGTGTTTTTGCAGAATCCACCACCTATACAGGAAAGAATAACAGGAAGACCTCTGGGCTTAACCAGGTGATTTTGCCTTCTGTTGCCAAATACATTTTTTTTAGTACATCAAGAAAGAATTTATATTATCTAACCTAGGGGAGGGGAGGGGGCTTGAACCCTGACCTAATGAGCAGCCTTACAAGATCTTAATTGCTGAGCTCTATTGATTTGCACTACCCGCCCATTTTTTTTTTTGATCAACAACAAAAGCTTTATTGATAAAAAAGAAAAGGAAATGAGGATAAGGCATTCTCTTACAAAAGGACTGAGAGAAAACAAAACAAAATTGAAAACCCCCAAACAAGCTAAACACGGGCAAAATCCTACATATCACAAACCGCCAACCAATCTCTAGCCACCAAAAAAAGAGGGACTCCCTTAAATAAAAAGTTCCTTGACACCCAGAAAGAAGTTAAATGACAAACATTATCCTACAAACAACCCACTTCCCAAAACTTTTCATCAAACAACCTTGCATTTCTCTCTCTCCATAAAACCCAAAAAGTTGCAAAGACAGCACAAGACCAAAGCATTTTGGCTCTCTTTGATCCTCCAAAAGTGTGAAAATCCACTAGGAGCATATGCGTACACCTTTTTGGGGCTACCCACACCACATTTCCAAAAGAAAACAATTTGTGCCATAAATTTAACGCTATTGGACAATGCAAGAATAAATGATCCACGGATTCCCTATTTTTAAAACACAGAATGCACCATTGAGGATTTTAAAAATGATTGGGTCTTCTTTTTTGCAATGTATCATTTGTCAAAATGCATCCATGAACCAAGGCCCACATGAACACCTTTACTTTTAGGGGAACACAAGCCTTCCAAATTTTTTTGCAAAAAGGAAACTGAAGAACATGAGGATTATCAATGATGACCTCAAAAAAAGACTTACAAGAAAATATCCCTGACGAATGAAGAGCCCAAACCTGCTTGTCCTCCAACAGAGGAGATAAAGTTTGGTTTGCATTATCATTGAGATGTCAGCCCAAAAAGGCATCATCTGTAATTTCATTTCACAATGACCAGCAGCTCTTACGTTTCCATCCCAATTTTTCAGTTGGACCCTTGTTTAAACATCATATTCCATATCACTTAAGGCAAGCAAAACTCAAAAAGATGTTGTACAAGTAAATAGGATTTGAGACTAGTAGATCATGCATCATCAATGAGTAATGATTCAAATGCAAGTTATGAGGCCAAATGCTTTCCAATAAAATCACCTCAGAAACAAGTGGTCATGGGAAGGGCACTTATGTGCCAAGGTGAGTAAGATTTCAAAGTTCAAGTCAATGGAGAAAAGTTGGCCTGCATTGTAATCTAAGTAACATACTAACAGCTATCTTGTACCAAAAAAAAAATACAAAAACTTTTAAGAGTTCAAAATACAAGCCTTCCTTTCAAATTCAGACTGAAAAAAATCAGAGAAATATGCAGAGGGAATATGGCATTTTTTCTAAAAAATAGCCCTGACAATTCTTCTTCCTCAATTCACAAGTCCGATCAGCCCTAGAACTATCTCTCTCTCTTTACATACAGAATGCAAGTGCCAGAGATAACTCATATCAGTCATTGACCTCCTCTAGTTCCAAAAGATGTTCAATTTTAATGCTGCGAGTTTTGAACTGTTCCAATAAGATGACTATTTCTCTAGTTCTGTCCACTGTCAAATGCTTAATCTGCGAGCAGCACTTCAAAATTTCCTCAATGCCTTCTGTCAATGTGTAAAGTCCTGTAACATTGAGAGTCTGTAAGTTGGGGCAAACAACCCCTATTTTTTTCAGGAATTCATTATTCACACGAGCACAACTCAAATCCAAGGATCTAATTTGATAATTCCTCTCCAAATCCATATCAAAATTATCTTCAACTTGTAGATTTATATGTGGCATTTCAATCTCTGAAAGCACAGGACATTCTTTTGCAAGGATGAAGAAGATTGCAGTGGTTAAGTTTGAACACTGGTCAAACTTTATGGACACAAGATTAGGAAGATATCGACATAAATCCCTCGTGGAATTGTCGGTGAGGATATCTATGGAACAAAGCATCAAGTGTGTCAAAGATGGGCATGCGCAAAAGAAAGTAGAGAGTCCATGTAAGCAGTACAAAAACACAAAAAAAATACTTTTGAATCAACACAAGGTTTTGGAACCGCCACTATCAATCCACTACTGAAGAACGAAAAGATTACAAAGAAATCATACAAATTACCCAACCCTAGTCAATTTGTCTTTTGAATCTTCTGTAACTCTTTCACCACACCTTCGTCACGGAATTGATCCTGAAGTTGATTCCACACCACAACTTCACTTGTCGAATTAACGACTGCGTAGAATCAAACGCCTTTTGGATTCTACGCTTTAATCTTCGGAATCCACCGAAGAGAACTTACTTGAAACTTAAGAAGCAACCTCCTTGATGTATGAATCTCAATGCATAAGTTCAGAACTCTCTTAAGAACATCAAGGAAAACTATGAAAAATCTCCAAAGAAAACTTTAAACACAACCCTAGTTCGTTTAGATCAGATCTAGGAAAAACCTCTTCACAAAAACACCCTTAACAGCTCTAAATAGGAATCTGGATCCGCGATCTCTGCTCGAGCTCAACACATCCCGCTCGAGCGGACTGACCAAAAACTGCGTGCGAAACAAACTGAGATGTGCTCGAGCTTAGGAGAATCCGCTCGAGCGGAAAAACACACCCACCAGTATTTGTTGCTTGCCCTGACAAACTACTGAGACCTGCTAATCTACGCTCGAGCTCACAAGTCTCCGCTCGAGCGGACAGAACAAAAACACAAAAAATTACATTTGAATCAACACAATGTTTTGTCTCCGGATTTGACAACATAGGGACCTAACAATTGTACAATATGATCTTCTCTAATTGAATGCCTGCTGCTGCAATGGAACAAATTAGTCGGTCTTGATTTCCATGTGGGTCTAACTCAAGATCACGTAAAGATGTTGCATAAATCATGGAATTCTCAAAAGTGAACGAAACATCTGGTGAACTGTAATAGCGTCCCGCTTTGAAACAAATCAAGTTTCGACTATGGCGTAATGAGCCTGAAAAAGAACACCCAAACACAAGCCAACCAAAAACAGGTGGAACTGGATTAAATAACCATTAGGCCAATCATAAGCAAACCAGTATCCATCCATCCATAAACATATATACATCCATCCATAAACATATATCCAAAATATAACCAGTAAGAAAAAAAAAACTATATACCAAAAACATGTAATCAAAAACTGATGTAATCAAAAACTGTGTAATCAAAAGATCAAAGATCAACTGTACCCACACATCACTCCCCCTTTTTGACCGGGAATGAAGAAAGCAAAAAATCAAGCACCAGGTGGAGGAGGGGCCGGCTGAAGCGTCAATAAGGAAATGATGTGGTCCAGCTGCGAAGTAGTGTGAGCGGCAGTCTGCTCCAGCTGACCAAGACGACCATCAAAGGCATCAAAACGAGCATCAAGAAAGTCTAACCTCCAGGTCATAGCCTCCTCAAAGTGCCGAAGCTGATCAGGAAAAGAGCTAGGTGGAACAGGAGCCTCATCATCATCACCGGCTGCGGTGGCATCAAACTCGGCCTCTTCATCAAGACCAGCAGCAACTCCTGCAGAAGGACCAACCCGGGATGACTCCCCCTTAATATGAGCTCGACTTTGAGACACAGTTTTCTTGGTAAAAGGGCGAGAAGGAGAGGCAAACTCATCATCTTCTAGGATAGGGGTCCCAAGGTCAGACAAAATTCGGTTGATCAAGCAACCGTAGGGAAGGCCAAGCTTTTTATGCCCATGAGCACTGATCATCTTTTTTATAATAAGGGAGGCGAGATCAATAGACCGGTGACGGGTAATACAGGACAAAATGAATCCTTGGTCTTGTTTGACCTCGGATGAGTGTGTGGTGACAATGATGTTGGCGCAGACAATCAGATTAAGCAGTCTGAACTCCGGAAGAAGTTCAAACTGTTTAATCAAACCTCCTTTAGGCCAATGACGGGCAACACCACACAGCTCCAAAGCCACATCATCAAAGTTACAAGTAGGACGGTCAGGAACAGGGAAAGGATAGTATTTGGGAAAGACTTGCTCAATCTTAAGAAGTTGGCGAATCAATACAGGGGTGACGGAAATGGATTTTGACCGAACCTATGTAGTGAAAGATGGCTCATAATCACGAATACCCTCCATATTACAATAGAATTCTCGAACCCAATCGAGATTCTGACGCCCAGAAAACAATAAAACAAGGTCACCACCTAGAGGGTCGAACAAAGAACGAATGTGGATGGACTCAAATGTATCAGGTTGAACATTCCGTTCTAAATGAACTGTGCGAGTCACAAAAGATTTGTGGAAGGACTTGGATTGTGTGGCCGACTGAAACCTAACAGGGTTATAGGTAGGGCGAGAGACGGTGGCCTTTCGGCGTTTAGGAGCAGGAGCAGACATGCCGAAAAAGACACTATTACACCCAACAAACCAACAAACCCAAAACCCAAACCACACCAAAACAAAACCAAAGCAGATCATTAGTTCAATAACCAAAAGAAGAAATAGGGCATGAAATCCTCAGTGGATAATGCAAAAGATTAAGCATGAACAAATAGGAGCATGGTATTGAAGAACTCATAACTAATACACCCAATATGAGAGAAATGGCAAAGTATAAGTATGAATCATGAGAAAATCAAAGCAATGTATTCAAGACCAGACCCATATTCACGCACAGTGACCTCAACAGCCCGTAAAGACAAGAAAGCAGGAACACAGATAAACCCAATTACCACAGACACAATAAAGAAAAACACAAAAAAAAATCAGACAATAGGACGAGGACAAGGTGTGAGAGAGAGAATCACAAAAACGAGACACAAACCCAACACCCACTAAAACCAAATAGAACAAAAATCAACGAAAATAAAAGAGGGTAAAACTTACCAAAGAGCAAATCGACAGTCACGATGGAGGATGAGAGGAAAAAAACGACCACAATGTAGCCACAAAACAAACCCTAGATCGAGAGAATGAAACAGGAAGAAAAAGAATGACGCGAAGAGTCCAGAGAGGGAGTTAAGTATGAAAATGGTCCGCTCGAGCGTACATATTACCGCTCGAGCGTAAAACAATGCAAGCAGACTCCCGCGCGAGCGTGCAAAGGGTCGCTCGAGCTCAAAAATCCATCTCTCAGAACTGCCAAAACACGAACAGACTGCTGCAAGAGTGAAAAACGCGCCCGAGCGTAAAACATTCCGCTCGAGCGGAAAATTTTTTTTTTTTTTTTTTTTTAACAAACAAAACACACCTAGAATTCCTGTAACAAGCAAGAAGAGCAAGTATAGACTAAACCACAAAGACAAGAAAATCCATCAAATTATGAGTCCTGCGAATTTAAAAAAAGAGATGAAACACCAGCTCATGAACAACACAGATAGTATTAAATCAAAGCTACACGCATCATGAGAATGCATAACTCAAAAACACATATGAGAGCTCATGTAAAAAATGTGTGTGTGTGCAATCCTTGAGAGCCACAAAGCTAGAGTTAATCCTAGTAGTGATCGGATGGCTGGACCTCTTTTTTGTTGATTTTACCAGCTTTAGGTAGACGGAGAGAGAGATCAGCCTGGTCTACCTTCAATTTTCCCTTTGCTTGAGTCTTCTTGTCATATGAAGTAGAGGCCTGACCCTTGTGAGCTGTTGCACCATAGCCTAACCCGCTTTTGTCGCAACCCATATGTTGAGACCCGAGGATGTCTTCTAAAGATTTGGAACCTTTGTTCCACATGGCAATAGTGGCTCTAGCAACACGGAGCTCTTCATCTTTTTGACAGACTATCTCTTCCAATATAGCTTGTGACAGCTCAAGACTTTCAATCTTTTCTTCATATGTTGCATAGATTTGCTGTAGCTCGTTCCTCTCTGTCTCACAAGTCAAGAGTTTTGCACAAAGAGCTTGTTGATCATCAGCTATCTTGATGGCATCAATCCTGACCTCGGAAATCTCCTCCTTAAGTTTGACATTCTCACACGGGATTGCCAATAATAACTTTGTGAGTTTGTCATTCAATTTGAATAAATTAAGAGACT